AGAGGCATCGAGGTCTGTTCGCAATGTATGTATGTATGTATGTATGTATGTATGTATGTATGTATATGTATATGTATATGTATATGTATATGTATATGTATATGTATATATATATATGTATATATACGTGCGCATGTATGTTATATATATTTATATATATATTTGGACCCTCTTCGTCGGTTTTTAGAACCCACTAGGGATGGGAAGGCCAGCTTACTTCAGGGTTTACGAGCAATAATGACATTGTCGTTCCTTGCTAGTGTCGTTATTGTTGTTTTACATTGTTGCCTTCACAACTCACTAAAACACAGCTGTGTACATGACTGTACGTGTGTATTGTAACCCCTTAATATGTGTGCAATACAAACACAAAACAACAGATGATAGAATTCAAACCCGCGATAGCCCGCGCACGCATTTAAAGCACTGACCCATGTGTTTAAGGCATTGGGAGAGGAATCCGAGTATTGAATTTCAACCCCGAAAATTGAACTTCAATACTCCCGGATCCAAAATTCAAGATTCAAGATCCTGGGGGAACTTTGTCCTGCAATCTTGAATCTTGGATCCGGGAGTATTGAAGTTCAATCCTCGGGATTGAAGTTCAATACTTCGGACTGAATTCCAAATCACTTGCTCTGCCCATGTTAGGCGTGGCCGACCGCGTGTCAGCATGATAGCCTACTCTTCCAGCGTTGCATGCAAATCAAACCAACGATGAACAATAGCACGTTGTTTCCCGTGAATTGCTCACTGAAATCCATTGGACCCAATATTATTCCTAGGAGCAGTAGACCTAAGAATGACAGGGTTTTTCATATTCACCCTGTTATGAGTGCCAACATGATACCCTATCCTTCTAGTCCCCAACAAAATTGCTACTTGGTAGTAGTAATATTTGTCGCAACAACAGTATTGATGTTGAAGCCTTGCTGAGGCCCCTCATATCTGACTGAGCAATGAACGCCAACAACAACCCCAACGTCTTTTCTATTGTAAACTACGATTCAGCTTCGTATTATAGTGGCCGAAGTGACAACCTTCACGTTAGCCTCAACAAACCTTATTCCACCCTGAAAAACTGCCAGCCGACCTAAAATGAGCGTTTACTAATACCCATATTATCCGTTGATAGCATTAATCACCGTCCCCCACACTCACCGTGACAGCATTATCCACTACAGGCTACGTTTATTCCCCAAGCCCAACATCGGCCCCAAGATTAGCTCCAACGGCAACTCTTCTCTGCAGACTAGAGATCAGCTCCAATAAGAATCTTATAAGTTGAAGTGATTCCTCATCATGAACAACGTCAACTTTAACACTGAGGACGGCCCTGGCCCTGATAGTGGTCGCAATGGCCAATCTGATGTTACCCTCGGCGCCCCCCCTTCACCAAAAAAATACCCGAAACGTAAGCCCTGGGACTGAACTTCAGGAATATCATGACAGGTCATCCTAGCCCTTGATTTTCACCTGACAGCTTTGCTTACATGCAGCCCTCAACTCCAAATATATAGATATATATATATATACACATATGTACATACATACATACATAAATACGTACATACATACAGACATACAGACATACAGACATACAGACATACATTACATACATACATACATACATACATACATACATACATACATACATACATACATACATACATACATACATACATGCACTGATAAACACACATGTGGAAAGCGAGACAGAGAAAGGGAGAGATTCGCGAACTATGCCATAATCATGCAACATGATGCAACATGGGTTGTGATATGTGACAACCGGATATCCATGGAAGCCATATGGATCATACTAGTATGATGGTGCGCGTTCAGCTGCGGAACAACGCATCGCGACAATTTGCCGACGAAACTCTCAACCCCAAACCCTGTAGCCCACACCCTCGAACCCCAGCGCGACCTCGCCCCATCTGAATCTTTCCTCGACATCAAATACAGAGCATACAAGAATCGAAGCCCGAAACAACACCCACTATCCAAATCCTGGCCTCAAGTGCGAACCGAACACCAGGAGTGTAACCCCCAACTCTTGGCGAGGAAATCGACAGCCCGAACCTTCGGAATCCTCCATCCTTTCTCGATCTATCCGAAATTAAACGAACCTCATCTAGCCTAGCCCGCTCTACCCCAGTCCGACCGAAAGTCTTGCCAAGAGACTTTCTAGCAAACCGTCCCAATCTATGGAAACTACACCCGAAACTCCGGACTCTGAACCGTGCCCACACCAATGTAGCAGAGCAACACAACCACTGAATCCCTTTTCAATGCTACAGACTGAGTGAAAGAGCGGACGTCCAGGCCTGCAATCTTTCTCTTTCTTCTGCCTCCATCCTATAGAACACTCTCTGTTGGCCTACCTACCCTACACTTGTTTCACAAATAATGAAAATCTTCATCATGGCCATAAAAACATCTGCAATCCTGGAGCCAAACCGGCTGCGTGCCATTCACATCGATCAGACTGAGGGCCAGAAAGGGGCGAGTGAGGAGAGAACGGGTGCGGGAGTGAGCAGTGAACGGGAGTGGAAATGAATGGGAGTGGGAATGGGAATGAGGAGACAGAGAGAGTGGGAATGCATGGGAGTGGGAATGGGAGTGAGAAGAGAACGGGAGTGAGGAATGAACGGGAGAGACCAGCGAGGACAGTGAGTGAGTCAAAAGGAATGTGAATGAGCGGAAGTGGGAATGATGAGTGAACGGGAGTGGGAGCGGGGAATGAATGATGAATGAGCAGGCCTGCATCATGCAGTGACACCAGGCAACCTAAGATCACAAACACAAACCAAATCACTCAGAGTTCTTCCGGATGGATGCATTTTCAACTGCATGCTGACAGCCTATGCTTCTGCATTCTGCTTGCCTTCTGGCTGCACCTTTGTGACCTCTGCCATCCATCGTTTGCGGCACACGCCCGAATTCGACCACTATCCATAAAACCCCTTTCAAACTTGATACTATTTCTCGCATCAAATCGGTAATCTCCTGATACCGAATACTTCAGTGCCTTGCCGCTTCTTGCAGGATCTGTTTCATAGATGTTGCAACCATCATGTCAGTCAGTGTACGTACACAACAATTGGATATAAATCATTGAGCCGCTGCTGATTGCCATCATCGCACGCCGGTTCACGATGCCTGTTCCGTATCCTGCACATGCGATTTTTGCGCGCACTTGCATCACCCACGCGCAACATTGCCTATGACAGATGATAAGTTTGGAGAGTCGTCTGCCTTGGGCCCTCTGTAATAATTTACCGTTCTTTGATGAGGGCGGGTTCAACACATCATTCTGCCATAATCCTGCAAGGCGTCACGGAAATGATATACGTCGAAAGGAAGAATCTCCGGCTTTGCTAGCAGTGAACCAGTATCTCGGACAGAACATATACTTGAATTGTGTATCCGCTCCTCGGCTCCTGTGTATGCGACTCTCGTCTCAACATGAGTCAACTGCAATCTCTCAAATTTCAGGACGAATCCAGCTGAACCGGCAAAAAGTGCACAGGCTTCTTCCATCTTCTTCCTATTGTCAACTATTCGACAGGCACGTTCGACTACCTCAGAATCGCTCTGGTCACAACACACAACGTCAAAGCCTAAACCATGTCAGTAAACAAAGCCACAAGGCATAACGGAAAAATCAGCAGGCAAGCGAACTCCTCTTTTGTGCTTAGAGAAAAAACTGTGGCAAACCTGAGGAGTTCCCCAGAGTCGAACTTCCCGAAGTCGTCGGAACTCGATCCGTTACAAAGCGAAGGATTCACAAGATCCAACAGCGGCATCGTGGCGCCTGGCTCCGCCCGCCCCTCGGGAAACGATGGTGAACTCGCAGGATCTAACTGACCCAACTACACGGTCCGGCGAGACAGCTTTAGAGCTTTAGAAGACCAACTCAAGTTGGCGCCAACAAGACTCGGTACCCTCAGGCCCCTCTCCATGTTGAAGCCTTTGTAGTCCGGGTGCGTCAATTCATCCGCCCACTGGTCGGGATCGCGTTTGACACTCGATAGCCAACGGGCAAACCTTTGTAGGAGGAGCAATCCCACGAGGATGGCCGTGGAGGACATCTTTCTTTGCTTGCCGTCCAAGAACAGCCGTCGGAGAGAAGTAGTATCAGCACAGAGGCTCCGATTTTCGGATACACAAGACAAGGGAATGCGTCAGCAGCACAACGATGCCATCATCTCCAGCGCTGCTATGCTTCTCTTCGGGCTTCCATTGACAAGCGCCGGCGGGCGAGCCTGTTTGCATTACCTCCTTCGTCCTGGGAAGTTTGTGATCCATCCTGCGATGAAGGCCGAAGCAGGCGGGCCTGGGTTCTGGACGGTCTTGAGACTCTTCCAAGCCGTTTCTGCACCGGACACGGGTCGCATTCACAGTTCCTTCGCCCGCCTGAGCCGGGGGTGCAGCCGCACCGGGGCTTTCTCTTTTGCTGCCTGTCTGGGCTGGGGGGCGGCCTAGCCGCATCCTGTGTTGGGGTGGGTTTTTGTAGCCGGCTTAAGAAGTCTATGTTACGCTGTCTGTGCCAACCAGAGGACGCCACCGCGTGAGCCATTTTGGCTCAAGCATCGTGACTTGGTCGCAATGTGGACTTTCTTCTTCTTGCAGGGCAGTGGATGATGCGGCTGATGCCGTTGATACCAAAGCAGAAGATGCAGTGCTCCTGCCCCCGGACTGACTGACATGGAAGTGGTCGAGGAGGCCACCAGAAACGGCCTTCCGAAAAGATGGAAGAGATGCAGGCCGGCGCCCTGATTCCAGCACAGCTCCGACAAGCACCCCGCCTGACCGAGGAGGATACCTCAATCGCCCGTACTCCCGAGCACCGCGCCCAAATGGGTTTTCACGGCCCCACAAGTGGGGTCGATCCTGAACGAACCTGCCACAGCACTCCCGTAAGAAACCCCGACGCTGAAAATCGCACATGCGACCAAACCTGAAAGCAGTTCATCCTGCATCCTAGGCCATGAACTGAGCCTAGAACACTCTAACCCGCAAGTCTTGCATCAAAGCGCTGGGTCAAGGGATCTGGCCCTGCTCCTGCCTTGCAAAAACTTACTTGAAAATAGATCACAAAGGACTCGGTAGTGTGCTCGAAGGTCCAGACTTGCACAGGGGCCCAAGTGCATGCTTTGTCGTTTGTGGAAGGCATAGCCCGTCGACAAGAGGGCGTCGCTGTCAAACTGATGGTGGATGCTATCAAGCAGCGCACGCTGCTGCGAGATGGTGCCATCACCTGGGAGCCACGTGAATCAGGAGCGTTAAGCTTGGTCCCGACATCGTACGTTTAGCTTCGCGCCTGTAGACGTCCCCAACCTGGACACCTATAGCCTCAGGCCGTATGCGGTTTGGAATGAGACGCTCTTGGTTGCGAAACAAATGCAGCAAGACGAGCCACAGAAAGGGGCGGAGCAAGGAGTTGATAGACGAATTGCGCACGATTTACAAGAAGATGGCCTTCCGAAGTCAAATCGGCCCGGTATGGCCCGGTATGGCAGCCGTTGCTTGGCACCCAGCCGAGGACGTCCGCAACTCTGCTTACTCTCTCCAATGTGGCCGTTTGATAATAGTGGGCGGGCAAGCCCCGCCGAGACGCACCACCCACGTGCAGCGAGGATCGAATCGCGGGCCCCGCCTAGGTCCAGGCCAACTTTGAACAACGTTCCTTTCCAACACGGAGAAGGACGGCCTGGCCAAGCCAGGCGAATCGGCCGTGGGGGATCTTTGCCGGTTCTGGGAACCTATTGGACCTATTGTCTAGAAGACTCCCCATCGCACAAAGGGCAATGGCGTTCACTGGAGGCAACGGGAATCGGGAAGAGCCGCAAACAAGGCAAGATGCAGAAAGCCTTCGCTTCGGCGGATTTGCGTTCAGCCAAACCCCCGCCGCGGGTTGTTGAACGAAACTGAAATGGGCCCGCTCAGCTAGTGAACACCGGAGCCGTGAGGCTGTCTGTTAGAGACAAGTCCTGTTGGCGCTCCATGTGGTTGGTAGAACGCGTGCGCCCTGCTTCGGTATCCGCCATGACTGCTACGGGGCTCACAACCACAAGCAGCTAGACTGATGTAGAAGCAGGACAGCACCCCCTACTTTTCACTTTCTACGAGTGATGTTTCCTCACTTGCAATTGCAAATCAACGTAAACGCTTGACTTGAAGAAATGCCACTTGAGCCCCAGGGGCAGTGTTTTCAGAGACCAGAGCAATTTCGCGCGCACGCGCACGTGCATTGCTAGAACCACATTGCTAGAACCCAAAAGCGTGAAACCTGGATTGAATGACACACACACACACATACACTGCAAGCAGTGCGCAAACACGTGCCAGCTCCATGTTCCTTAGCCTTGCTGTCAGCATGCTCGTGCCGCCCGCCCAATGGGAATTGTGAAACTACGAGCAAGCAGTGGGGTATATGGCGAATACCTGACTTGAGAGCAGAGCGGACGAAAGCTCGGGGGACGGAGGGGTAGCAGTGCTATTGCAAACGCGAGTTGATGGCAAGCGAATGTGATTGATGCAGTGTTGCTTCCATGCTGTGTTGCGAATGTTGCGAACTGGTAGGCCAGCAGGTATCCAATCAAGTTTGACGGAGAAATTGAGTTCGATGCTTTGTCACAAGACCCAGGCCTGCGCTGAACTCCCGTGGCAAAGCTCATTTCTCAACCCAACAAGCAACTCTGAAATGTGTTTACGCTCCTACAAACTCATCGCTGAACTGCGCTTGTCAAAAACGAGTCGGAAAAGATGCCTGTGGTGAATGCCAAACAGCTTTAGGCAATGCTGCTTTCAGCTGTGCAGATATACGCAGCGGCGATGTTGCCGAATGACAGCAGCTCTGCTGTCTGTTGTACTGACATGTACTGACCCCTTGACAGGGGGTAGGGGGAAAAAAATGGATCCATTTTCCATTTTCAATTCATTATTTGGTGCGTCTTGACGGGAGCAGCCTTCCGAAGTGGTCAGAGAATATATGGACCGCCTTCTCGCTGACGCGATCCCTGACATATCAGGAGCGAGGCCCTAAACTTGCTTGTGGCCCAAAACCAAATCTGTAAACAACAACTCCCGAAAGCTCCAAAGGAGCTCGCTTTCTTGACTGACACGCTCCGCAACAAAGCGTGCAAATCTTCATTTGCCTGCGAACAAAATCGAGCCAGGCAAGGTCTTCGTTACTTCTTACGTCTCTGGTGGCAACACTGTGCAGTGGGGGGATGGGGGTTGCCATAGCCTTACCAAGCATGTCTTAGTACGAGCCTCCACCTTGCCCCGAAATCCCGAAAAGATAGAATTCGAGCTCCGGCTAGGGAATGCGTCTACTGGTTGCCTTTAATGTCAAACGGGAATGTATTTTTGAACCCGTGCAAATTTCATGCCCTGACGCAATGCTGTGATCAGGATGTGACATGATGTGACATCGTCCTGCTGCATTGCTCTGGCACTAGCGACTAGTGTTTTAAGACTGGTGCTGCTGGCTCACAAGCTCCTCGGGCAGTAAAAAAGTACTGCATACCATGTGTTTGTGCCAAAAGCCTCTGGGCTCCAAAGGTACACAACGTCATGAGTGGTGAATTGGAGTTTTGACCCGAGCTTCACGAGACTTCACTTGCGCACAATGCTCGCTGTTTTCGAGACTATCAAAACGATCAGCTCATCCTGCAATACATTACGCATCTTGCAGCAGGGCTGGATTTAAATCAACTCATCCACGCACCCTGGCGAATTGCCCAGGTGCTTGACTGCAGTTGCCGTTTGGCAGTACAGTCCGAACCTCATCACCATGTTGGGCCATATGCATGCACAAGAAAGCCGTCTGCAGCGCCTACACGAAAAGCGCGCACCACGACCTACGAGTACTGTGGCTGCCATTTGGCTGCCACTTAAACCTGAAATCCTCGGATTGCGTCGCAGGCATCGCTGCGCACCTGCCGATGCTCCAGGACTGCAAGCGCAAGCTGCGACTTGCAGTGGTTGGCAGGCATGAGCAATTCAAGCTAAATCGACTGCTTTGAAAGCTAGACTCTAGCCTCTTTACCTCAACATAGCTTCCTGGCGCTGAGTTGGGGGAAACTTCGCATGTGAAACCGATGGCTCACACCCCTAACCCCTCCCCCCCGGCACTGCTGCGCACCGAACGTGATTACAAGGCTGCGCCGAAAAGCGGCACCAGGAACGCTTTGTCCAGTGCTGGGCACGTGCAAAGCGTTCACAACAGTCGCACGCAAGTCAACTCCGCCGATGCCGCAGGCATGAGAATTTAGAGTTTTGTCGCGGCTCACCGTTCTTGAGCAAACACTGGCGATGATCCTAAGCACCGAAGAAGAAACGGTGAACAGAGGCGAAAGCAGGCAGCTGCAGGCAGCAAGAGGCCGTGTGGACTTGGGCTTGCTCCAAAAACACGATTGGGACACAGATTAAGCTGCCTCCAGCAGTGTCACTGCTGCATTATTTTTGTGGCAACCAAAAAGGAGAAAACTTCAGCTGGGACTACTAACTTCTTCCGTCGGCCGATCCTGGATGCAGGAGGAAGGAGTCACACATCCAGGAGCATGCGGGCAGGATCCTGCTCAAGGTCTGAAGGCATCGAAGAAGTTGGCAATGCTCGGCCGTTGACTATGGAGCTAACGTCCTGAAGTTTGTCCCGCACGTTGCAGAGGAAGGTGACGGCCTCGCGGCCGTCTACCAGTCGGTGGTCGTAGGTCAAAGAAGTGAACCTGGCATGGAATGGTAGGCACAGTGAGCGCACAAAAGGGAAAATGGAACACCTGGCCGGGCAGGCATGATTGGACGAGCTTCCACTTTGCCCTCAACTACCGTCACGCGTCTCTTGACCGCATTGGTTCCTGGCACGGCGCTAATTCTATGGAAATGTCCAACGACGACCTGACCTGAGCTTGCCACCCATCGATGCGCTCTGCGGGAAGTTTCTGCGGACACACACTCAGCAAATAGAGTCTCAAAGCTCCACGAAAACGGACACCAAGCTCTGAGGGGGCGCACATGATTCCAGTACCAAGCATTCCCCCAGCGATGCCGGCATCCACGATGCCGAAAGTCGACTGGCTAAGATCTTCCACGCACAGCTCGTCCCGTGCGGCTCGATCTGTCAGCCTGTGTGCCCGGGCATGGTCGGGCCACACATCTTAACGAACCAACCGCTGCGACGCTGGCTTTGCAGGTGCAAACGTGTCTCCGGCACCCTGCGATCTCGTGCTCCATGTCGCGGATGGACATGGACTGGGCATCCCTCAATGTGCAGGCAATAATACCCCGCGGACTGGGGATGGGAATGCTGATGTCCACCTCGGTGATGTTGCACGCCAGATACCACAGACATGGTTAGGCAAACTCAGGCGGAAACGTAGTCCCTCCAAACGGTCTCCTTCGTCCTGAAGGTTCAAGAACTCATAAGTCTTTTTGCAGGGGGGAGCCTT